ACCACCACCTCATACCACCACCACCCCATACCATCACCTCATACCACCACCACCACCCCCATACCAGCACCACCACCATGGTAAATTATTCTCTCCATCTTCACCTAGTCTAAGTTCTGATGAACACCTTTTAAAACCCCCATTCCCGAGGTCTCCAGATTGAATCGCTATGGTTGAGAAGTACCTAGGAAGTCCTGACGAGGCTGATCAGGGTGCGTGAGGAGGATGGCAAGGAGAGAAGAGTCTGCTGCCTTTGCTCAGAGCCCCAAATTGAAATGGCAGTCCCTATCTGGCCTTTCTTAAGCAACTCCAAGACCAAGGAGACAGCCCAGAAATGAAGAGGAGAGTCATGGGTGAGGGGAACACATTGCAGTGTGCGTAGGTAAGTATTCCTGGGGTGCACGCAGGGTAGACTGGTCCTTCAGCACTGACTCTGGGAGCAAATGTGTGAGCATTCACGGCCTTGCATGGGTGAGCTGGTGATACCACTGAAATCACAGGAGTCAGAAAAATAGTCCCCCACCTTCCCTGAAAAAACCTCATGCTGTTCTAAGATGCCCACTTTTGCAGTGGCCCCAGGACTCTGTTTTCTAGAATGGTCTCTCAACTGATTTTCTCAGAGCTGGGACAGAGGCCATAATTCCCTGCCTCTAACCTGACAACACAGATAGAGGAGGTCGCTTCACTCAGAGGAGTTAGTCCCTGTTTTCACGGTGGCTCTTGGTTGTGTCTCAACTGCTCATCATCCATTCTCAAAAGGAGTGGGGTGGGGCCAGTGAGCCTTTGTTGCTGTAAAACCTGTACTCGCTGTGACCAAGGGCTCCCCGACATTCTCCCTTGCTCTCCAGACTGTTTTCAAGTCTCATAAATACAAACATGTGGCTCTTCAACCACATCTGTAGATAATAACTTCAGGGGGCTTCCTGTTTACATGGCAATACCCATTTCCCAGCCAAATAAACTCTGTAACAGAGAGCTAAGGTGTTTATTGGGCCAGTCTCGGCTGGGATTGAGTTAACAGGAAACTCCCACTCTCACAGAAATGTCTCATGATTAAATATTTGGGACACGAGGGGTCAGAAGCATTGGAGGACTCTTTCTTCTTCCGCCTGCTGTTGCAACGAGAGAACAGAGGAGCCAGAGGAAGTGCTGGCCTCCCAGCAGACTTCAGAGCAGCTGAGAGGCGGCAGAGAGAAGAGAGAATGTGCCCTGAGCCAGGAGCGTTCTCCTAGGTGAAGGGATGGATAAAGGACCACATGCATATGGGAAGCCCTTAATTCTTCTGCGGGTGGCCTTGGCTTAGTGGACAGCATCCTCTCCCACCTGCTCAGTTATACCCCCATACCAGCTCCACAAAAGACAAAGCTTCCAGCCTCCAACTCCTGGAGATGTTGCCCATTTGGTAATGCCTAGAGGTCCTTTGGGTGGTCGGGGATTGAGAGGTACTCTTGGTATCCAGTAGGTAGAGGTTGTGGCTACTGATAAATCACCCACAAGGCTCTGGATACACCGAGAACTGTCTGGCCTGAAATGTTAAAGTCAAGGTTTAGACAGTGGGCAAGAAACTCAAGGTTCAGAGGAGTGAAGTGATGTGGCTGGAACAAAACGAGAGACTGACCGCCTCTGTGCCCCCCTCCCCTGTGCCTTTAAAACCCACGGAAATGTTATTTAAGTAAATAACTATTTGCGTTTTGAAAGAGCTACACAAAAATTCTCTGGCCAAAGCTCAGCCATGTTCTTCTAGGATGACTCCTCCCCTTAGGAATAATTTGCTTCTAAGATTTCTCCGGGCACAGCCCTTTTAGGGGAGACCTCTACCCTGCAGGGATAAAGAGGCTGATGTGGCCAGTGACGCAACGTCTCTACACCAGGGTCTCTGGACTCCCACATTAGAACTGTGGCAAGGGAAAACAGCTGGGCCATGAAACAAGTAACTACTCAGCCTCATGGAAAGGGAAAGATTTACTAAAAATAAGCACTGCCCCCCCCAAAAAAAAAAATCCTCAAAATACAGTTAGGCTCCCTAAAAGAAAGCTTCTGAGATGTAAGTCCTCTAGGCCAAGGTCCATTTTAATCACAACTAGACTTCAGTTTTTATTTCTAAAGACCCAAAAGAGATATGGGAAGGAAAATGGACAACTCTGTCTAGGCTGCCTGGGATCTGACTAGAGCTGGGAAGAGGGCTGATCAATTGTTGGGTTCAATTCCTGTTCTCAGAGGTCTATCCACCTGGACTCCTCCAGAGCTGGATTCAGGGGCTTTGCAGCAGGATGGCATGGGCACCCCCTCCTCCAGACTCAGGCACTAAAAACATGTTGAAGGCCAGAGTTTCTGCCTGCTCCTCCAGATGCAGGGCAAACAAGAGCCCAGTGCTCACGATGACGATGTTCCCCCTCTCACGAGGAGTAAAGGACCTCCGCTTTTACCTAGCTCTGGTACATCCTGGGAGGCGCAGGTGGGAGCAGATATCAGACATGAACGAGAAAAGACCCAGGATACACACATAACAAAACAAAAAACAAAAAAAACAAAAAAAAAGCCTTTTTATTGAAAATTAAATTCAAACTTCAAATTAATATTACAATCATGAGGGAAAAATGCCAAATAATTCAATTTACAGTTGCAACATACAATACAAATAGTCCCTTTGAAGTTCAGAGTAAACTCATCCACAATCATGACCTGTGGCACAAAGCAGAATTTGTACAATACGTGTATGGAAAGCAAATCTTGGGCAATAGCAATCAGAGAAATAAAAAATAAAAACAAAAGCTGTATTTACACAAAATGCTACAATTTTTTTGTTGTTGTTCCACAGAAATCTAAGAATGGTAGGTATATCAAAAGACATGGAATTTTATTCAGCATACCTAAGAAATTACTGTAAGTTATGGTTTTGGCTGGTATATTTTTAAAGTAAGGCATTAAAAAACAAACAATTATTTGTAAACATGAAGTAAACAGACAACTAAGAAAGTTCTCACATAGGAAAAAAAATCTTTGTTTTAGGTGCATTATCTTTTTTAAGAACAACAAATTAAAAGTTTGGAAGAATTGTCTTTTATTTTCTATTATTTTCTCAAATACTGCGCATATAATTACTTCTGCTAATGCTTTCTATCTCTAGGTCAGTCAGTCCCTTTCCTTGGAGAGGAGGGAACCCCCAACATGGCTCCTCCCTTCTGAATCTACAATGGACAGTCGAATGGTGTGGAGATGTTTCTCTCTCTATTTCCCAAGGGTCCCTAGGTAGAGGAGCAGACAGTTTAGAGAGCCAACAGTAGTTAATCTGTGAGGTCTCTCATTCCCTAACCTACAACGAAAACCATGGTGCCTGTTCTGAGACAACTGGAGAGTGTTATTCTAAAATCTAGCTGTGTCCATCATCACACCATGAATCTCAGGGATGTCTGTGCTCCTTCGAGAACTGGGGTGGGGGGGGGGCGGGGGCTAGCACACATAGATGGTTCCAGAAGTAATAAGACATTGCTTTGGTCTTAAAACCACAAATCATACATGTGACCCAGTGCAAATGGAGCATTTGAGAGACAAGGGAACAGGAAGAGGATTTTAAACCCTAGTCCAAAAAACAGAAGAAAAGAATGTGTTCTAAGTAACGGGAGTCACCCAGTGAGGTGGCCGAAAGGTGGAGAGAAATACTTGAATTTTTCTCAAAGGGAGGATGAAGGGAAACAGCCTGTTTTCAAAAGTGTTTCTGGGTTGCTGCCTGCAGCCACTGTGATAACATTTGGGCACTAACACATCCCCTCTAGTCCCTTACTGTGTGTACTGTAAACTTTAAGAAGCCCTTTAACGTTAAAAAACACTGTACAAATATAGTACCCTTTTTAAACAATTAAATAGGGTGCAGCTGGCACCGATGATAACATTTTCATGTCAACTAATGGAACCTGAAGAGTGTGACCAGACACTGGCCTTTGTAAGTGCTGCTGAAATAGGTATCGAACAAACCCATGGACAGTGGTGTGCTTCAAGCTACCACACACAATAAATAGCATCCATTACGACTTCCATCTTAAAACATACAAAGTGGCTTATCTAGCTGAACATACTTGGTATACAACCTTTAGAAGGCAAAGTGTTTTGGTTTGGTGGGAGCCCCCCCCCCCATTTGTACCAGAAGGAGTCAGGGTGAATGCTAAGGAAAACCCAGACTGGAGGCACACACAGATCCACCTGCCCCCAGACTGTCCCACATTGGGACAAAGGTCAACCTGAGAAAGAACAGAGAGCAGCGGGAGGCTAGAGGCCCGGGACAAATGTCTGCAGAGCTCTCCTTAGGATGACTCAGGATTGAAATGAAGGTGGCCCCCACCCCACCCCACCCACCACCACCTGTGAAGAATTTGCCTGGTGTCCTTGAAAGGTCCCTGGGTTGGATTAAGGATTCACACTCAGGGATTGGCCACAAGGCGCCTGGAACAATGAAAGTGCATCCTCTGGGCGGGCTGGATCTCAAATTCACACCTTGGCAAAAGCCAATTGGTACATGGCCTTCCCTGCTCTTGACCCTCCCTAGTGGGAGCCCATAATATGGAAGGATTTGTGGAGGTCCCCTCAGACTGTGTCTACTGACATCAGCTACTGGTCGCTATTCAGCTGACCAGCTCCCCTAGGACAGTGACTTTGTTCTGCTCCTTGGAAAGCTGCTGGGGGGCCCTCCTTGGGTAAGGCACTTGGGGTTCCCCTGAATGACTGTGTGGTAAGGCTGGTAGGTGCAAGGTCCTGGTGTGTCTGTGCTTCCCTACACTATACATGTTGTGATTGAGCCCTTACCACACATGTGGCTTTCAGCTGACTAGGTCCTCAACTAGGAAGCCTGCGATTTACAGTTTTGCTTAACTCCGAGACCACAGAACACGTTTCTGCAGTTATTCACTTGTGCTTAGCCTTTTAATATGACAAGAGCCATAATGACCATGCCACCACCATCCCCACCCCAAAGAGAAGGAAATTAGGAAACCACATGTCTCCAGCATTTCATGCTGGTAAAGGGGCCACATGAAGTGTTAAAGGGCTCCGGGGCCATGGTTGTTTTGTTTTTGTTTTTTTAATCCCTAATTATTGCTTTAAAAGGCAAAAAGCTGTGTCAGAGGCAAAGACCTGAAAGAATGAAATATAGCATTCCCTTCATACATCACAAAAACAAACTACAACTAAAATATTTGGAGGTGGAAATTATCTTCAAAAATCACATTGTGCCTGAAGGAATTGAAATTGCTTAGCAATATTTCAGATATGGCTCTAGCCCACTGAATAAATTTGTTATTTAAGAAAAGGCACTTTTAGAGACCGAAGTCAACATATCATTACACTAAGAAATGTTCCAAAGGTCCAAATGTCATTAAATAATTATAAATATATCTTTAAAGTTATATGACCATTCACGTTAGCAAGTTACCTCAGATTTTACACATATTCATAATTTAAAAAAAAGAAAAACAAATAACACACAGCCAACTCAAACACTATATCATTATGGCTATAATAAGGTATTGCCATCTTCAGTTTTGCATAGAGGGAGAAGGAGAGGAGAGGGTAGTTGGGAGGATTTCTTTTTGGTTAAATGGGGGACGTGAGGGAACTATAAAAAAGTAAAATAAAATAATCTATCCTGATCAGTATTTCTGAAGTCACTTTCTTAGAGTAGGAAAAAAAATAATAAGTGAACTCAAAAGTTCAAACGAGTACCTGCAGCAAGTCTGCAGGCAAACTTGGGGGCAGGTATCAGAAGGGACAGCACTGGACGCGGCGGCGGTGGCGGCCTCCATGCTACCTCTCGTCCCTTCCTGAGTGCACCACACTGGCTTTGTAAGCTGGTCTGCAGAGTGCACTGGCCTCCACACAGCCGAAGCGTGCGGTTTCAGAGTACAGGGAGGAAGTGGCTTGGCTCTTCTTCCTCCTGAACCCGGAGTCCACCTCTCTGAATTGGCATAGGAACAAGTTACTGATGAAAACAGACCAGACAACACCTTTGACCATTTGTTCCTTGGTAAAAGGGACATCTTAAATAGTAAACAGAATGAGACCCAGTTATGATTGTCTCTACCCTCTTAGGGTTGCAAGATCATGACTAGGGAGTGAATGAGAAATCTTCTAGATAGCTAATCAATATACATATATATGCACTCTCTTTATATATGTATATATTAACACATGTGGGATGTGGCCCCTGGATGCCGCTGGGCCACAGCTGAGGAATTTCAATATGGTCGCCAAACAGATTCATCCATTCTGCCACTAGAATTCAAAACAGTTGGGGAACTGCTGTGGCTTCCATCAGCGTCAACACCATCATTCTGGTTAGGCAAATTTGGATTTAATAGCGTGCTGCCATTCGAGGTGGTGGTGCATGGCGGAAGCATTCTGGAAGGAGACCGGTCCCCTCCCGGTACCATGGGGAACTGATAGGACGCTGACGAAGTGCCATAGTAGAGATATGGAGTGCTGCTGGTCTGGAAGGGTCCACTCTGGCTTTGGGAAGAGCCGGGGTAGGGTGGTGGCAGGTAGGTGTGGTAGTGGGTGGTGGCGGACATGCCGAGGGACATGCCTGACGTGACTGGCGGGGTATAAGTAAAGGTGGCTGGGTAGTGCATTCGTGGGTTGGAGAAGCGGTTCTCAGTGAGGGATGAAATGCTTGGGAACTGCCTGGGGTCTGAAAAAGGGCCCAGTTCTGAAGCACCTAAAAATTATAACAGAAGATGGGGAGGGGGGGAAACATCTGTAAATATCAATTAAAATGATAGAATTTTTACAAGATTAAAAAAGAAGAAGAAGAAGAAAACTTTAGCTTTCTCCCGAGGAACAGCAAGTCACCAGCAGATTTTCAAACGCACTGCTCACCTCGGGCTTCAGCTTTCCCCACATCACCGTCTGTCTCAGTGACATTTATCCTTAAGTTCTCCACCTCCAGAAATCCCCAAGGGCTTTTAAAAGCCAAATGTGTGCTAGACCCTGTGTGGAAGGCAAGCCAGCATGCAGCCACAGGCTCCCTCCCCAGACTGTAAGGCTGGGTCTTCAGTGACGCCCCTCCCCTCCCCTCCCCTCCCGTCCCTTTTGGTTTCTTATTGCACTTCAGGTATCTGAAGTGAAACCTTTACTAAATCAGATCCATTGATTTTTTTTCCCCTAACTCAATGTAAACAAACTCCAAAGATTTATTATTGTACCCCTTTGGAGGGGGCAGGGGCTTCTTTGTTAAGAAAAGTACATCTAACAGATTTCCTCAACATATTCCTACTATTTCTTTTAACCTTTGAAAGAATTTAAGATCTTGTTACAATTCTCACCCTAGTCACTGTGAAATCACAGCAGATTTCAATGTAATCTAACACTATCTTGCTTTTCTGGGGGTGTCGGGGAGAGTGGAGTCCTCAGAAATTCTCCCTTGAGTCATAAACTAAGTAAGAAGGTATTGAGAGGGAGGGTGGGGTGGAGGGGGGTGTGAGGACCTTGACTGTCACTGAATTTCAGAGTGTTGATGAGTAAGCCGCACAGGACCTGAGTTAGGCCAGGCGCCCACAGCAGCTTCGGTACAGGCTTCAAGCCTAGGAGAGATTAAATGAAAAGTTCCCTGGCTGCCTGTGCCCTGCACTTAGCAAGCTTTGGGCGCTTAAAAGCCTAGAAACAGATATGGCTTCCCCTAGAACTTTCACATCTGGGGCTCCCGGTGTGCCTCCTTAGCAGATCCCTCTGCCATCTGACTCCTGAAACCACAGCTGGAGACTTTCTTTGCACGTGGAAACTAGTTAACTGAAATGGGGAAAGCTCATAGCTGTGATCTTGGGGTTCCTTGTAGTTTTCTAGAATTGACAGGATTATAGCAAGGCCTTTTGTAACATCAACGTCTCTCGCTAAGATCGTGATGCCTAAGTTTCCCCTCGCTTCCTGACTTGCATCTCCTGTATCTGCTTTTGCTACAGGTTCCGGCTGTAAGGGAAAGTGCTGAGCAATGCTTGAAGACCTTAACTGTCCCTGCGCCCAATTTGCCCTCAGCCTTTCTTCTGGGGTAGTCTGAAGGGATCATTCAAGAGAGTGTCTTTCTTGAAAGGGCCTGTCAGAGGATGGTTGGTGTTTGTAAAACTGCCCATTGGTTGTAAATCTTCCCCAGGAGCTGGGATTCAGGGCGTGAAATGCACGTGTCGTACAAAGTAACGGCTTGAAAGCAATATGGGGTTAACAACCCCTTTTTTTCTCTCACAAACCAGAAGACAGCAGCCCTCAGACAGCCCAGCCCAGCCCCCCCAGGATTGTGAAGTCTCACCTGCCTGGCTCTTCTTGCTGAGAGAGGAAGGCCAGAGGCAGAAGTCAGAGGTGGCAGTATCGTCATCTGGAAAAGGAGGGGACCAGCTCTAAGTTCCCGTCCAGCTCTAGCATTGACAGCTGGTCTATGGCATTGATTCCCAGGCAGGAGGAGAGACAAGGGCCTTGGGGTGGGGGTGGGGGTTCCCATCCCTCCTTAGTGACATCCCAGAACCCGCTGGCCCGTCTGCAGAAGGTGCCCAGCAAATGAGCTGCCTCCAATACCAGAAGCAAACATTTTCAAGATGCCAAACTAACATGCATGCAGCCTGGCACTTAGGCTCTGCCTTTTATAAACCCCTCTTCCCGGGACTGGCCTCTCCCTCGCCCCTCCCCCTAAATGACATTCTGACAAGCCTGAGTTTTAGAAGGTAGAGGTAATGAGGCTGTGAGAATCAGAAATGGGAGCAGATGAGCATACCCACCTTCCTACCCCCCCTCCCCCGCCCCACATCTACCCCTCCTCCACGTTTACGGGCTGCCACAAATGATACAGACCCCAAGCAGAGGCCACAGGTGGTCCTCAGCAGTCTTCTTGCCCCACAGCATTTAGGTGAAGTTGAGGGGCCAGCCTAATAGATACAGGCAGGCCACTTCCATGTGCATTAAGTTCAGTACCCAGAGCACACGAAAAAAGCCTGAAGAACTGCAGTAGTTTAAAACGGAAAGAAGCCGCACTTAAAACATCAACATTTGCCCCTCAAAGAAGCACAGACTTCACACCCAGATAGACATGCTAATGTTTTTTAAAGGCTTCTAACATGTATTTATTTTTCCTTAAAACTGTGTTTTAGGAATAATTAAAATTCCATATGGCTTTGCTTATTTTGATGCAGAAATCTCATTAAAACTCTTTATGGGGGACCCTGCTAGTAAACACTGATACGGCTTTGTATTTACTCGTACCACACACCTCTATTTTAGCTGCTACGTTTTGCTGATGTTTTTATTGCTCAGCAACATATGCCAAGAGCGCTGTAGCTTTGGGTTTTAGAGACGTTAACTAACACAAACTGACAGTCATCTCTCAATGAGTGACCTCAGGTTGGGGTTCACTGGTCTTCATGGAAAACAACAGGATGCTGGCCAGTCACTTCTTTGAGACTGTGATGTCTTGAGGATCAACTCTTTCTTGACTGTGTGAACTAAAGTAGACATAAAAGAACTAGAAGAGACTCTTTGTAATCTATGAACAACAGCCTTTTCCAGAATCTGCTCAGTCATTTTATGTTAACAGGCGTTATTTCTGAAGCTGACTGCAGTGTATTGGGGAGGAAGAAACAGGGACTTTTCATGTATGGTGGGCAGGTGGGGGGGGGGTCCTAACAGAAACCTCAATTTCTTTATAATCATTGTTTCAGAGGGAAGAGATGCAACTACACATCTCTCCCTGAATAGGTCTGCACCCGAATTTGTACTCTGTCTTGTACGAGTGGCGTGGCTTTCTTCTGCACCTCCTTTTTTGGGTGATTTTGACAATGACACTGCTCCTTTGTGTCATCAGCCACATTACAGCCACAAACTTAAAAAAAAAAAAAAAAAACTTTAAAAACACATACTGAATTGAGTATGAAAAATGTCAATTTGACTTGTTAGAAATGCCCACAAGATGAAAGCTTGGACTGATATGCCCATCTAATTTTGTACATGCAAACTCACCCTACCCCGCCCCATAGTGACAGGCCTGTAACCTCAGGACAACCCAAACATCTTAAAGCTCCCAGCTACAGTCTCCCGAGTAAATAAAGCTAAGATCATTCTTTTTGCTGCTGTCCATGTATATATAACCCTGTCCATGGACAAGGGACACTAAACTGTGGTGAAAAATGGAAACTGCCAGGGAATTGATGGTTCTACTATCCACACGAGACCGGTTCTAAGAGTTTCAAAATTAACCTGGGCCGTGGGGGGGGGGGGCACAGTTGAAGCCTGTAATCCCAGCACTAAGGAGGCTAAGGTAAGACTACGTACAGTGGTTTTGAGGCCAATCTGGACTATATAGTGAGCTTCAGGCTAGTTCCAGCTACAGGGCTGAGATCCCTATCTCACAACAAAATCAAAGTTTCAAAATGGTGTTTCAAGTGCCTGGTGGGCCGACAGGAGTTAGTGAAACTCCAAGATGATGACGCATCTTCCTGATAGGCTGGTTTGACTCACCCTGGGGATGGAGCGGCAACACTACACAGTAAACCTGAAAACTGTGTCAGGGAGGAGACTGAATTTTTGGAGAAATAAAAAAGATTTCCCCAAAGCTTTGTACCTATCAACTGGGCAGTAGTGGCGTACATCTTTGATCCCAGCACTCAGGAGGCAGAGGCAGACAGATCTCTGTGACTTTGATAGCAGCCTGGTCTACAGAGTGAGATCCAGGACAGCCAGGGCTGTCTTAAAAACAACAACAAAAAAAAAAAATGTACCTATGACATTTCCTGCTATGTCCCCTGATCTCCCAAGTTAGCCACAGCAGGACCTCCTTCTGCCGGGCAAAGAACTGTGATGGGAAAGTCTAAACTCGAGATGGATTGTCATCTAATCTACACTTGACAGTTAGGGAAGCTGAAGCCAGGGACGAGCCAGTCACCCGAGCAGCATCCTCACACAGTGGAGCACAGGGAAGGAGGCAGAGCCAGCAGACAGACACCTTTGACTTCTAAGAGCGGACAAGCAGTCTGTTTTACCCCGGAAGAATCTGGTTGAGTCAATCACCGCCCCCCCTCCCCACTTCTCTCACTGTATTTGTCCAATTAGAAACTACTTAAGTAGACTCTCTTGGGATCTCAGTGTCCCCCCCCCCAGTGATAATTACCATTTTGGGGGACCCTCTTAGTGCTCCACTCTGGCACATTGTTGATCTAATCTGATAAACAGTTAGCAACCAGTTTCAGTTCTCAGGGTACAGGAAGAATGGGAATCAAGGTCACGGGCTCCATCCCCTGGGATCTCCTGACTTCCTACAGATGCACTCCATTCCGAAGCTGCTGTCTCCACTCCCAGCCACAGCTGGAGCTGGACAGCTTGCAAACAAACTAGCTGCCTCGAGAAGGAGGAGGAGGAGGAGGAGGAGGAGGAGGAGGAGGAGGAGGAAGAATGTTAAGAACCTTGCTGGTGGAAGCAGCAGCAGCAGGAGTGGCCGCCCCTCACAGGCTAATACAAACTTGGAAGATTACACTAATATAATGCCCATGAGGTCCAAATAAAAACAAAACCAATGTTAAAAGTAAAAACACCCCGCCTCACCCCGCAAGATCTGGGAGGGGAAAGGCAGCAGGCTCTCTACCTCGTCAGGTTTCTGGAGTCTTCAGAGAAGGGGAAAGTGTGTGGAACCCAGACAAGAGGAATGCATGAGAACCTTTGAACATGCCTTCCCAGGCCCCTAATCATCTATACTAGGTCTTTCATGTGCTGCTTTCCAATGCTGCTTACCCTGGATCACGTCTGACTCACAAGTAGAGACAGCTGTTGAAGGCACGGATCTCTCCCCATCAGGGCTTACTAACGGGAATACTCAGTCTTTCTTTTTTAAAAATTACTTACTCATCTTGTGTCTATGTGTGTGTCTATGTGTGTGTGCTACACATGTGTGGGTACCCTTAATGGCTGAAAGAGGCCATTGGCACTGAACTCTCTCTCTCTCTCTGACCCCCTTCCCTTTTTTAAAGTACCGGGGATCGAACCTATAGCCTCAGGCATGCTAGACAAGTGCTCTACCACTGAGCTACAGCGCTACAGCCCAGGTGCTAATAATCTCCATTTCTAAGCCCTATCTTTAGGACACACGTATCATCTAGTAGACCTTCACTAAACAGTTGTTGACTGGAAACAGGCAAGGAGGTCTTTACAATCAAAGGAAACTGGACTTGGAGGACAGTGGAGGAAGCATTTGTCACTAAGGGGTGTCAGCAGAGGAACGGGGCATGTCAGCTTCCCCGCTAAACATTAAGCAGAACCGACACACCCCAGCTGAAGGAGGAGAAGAAATCCAGAGCGCCTGGGATCTAACTGGACGTTCAGTTAGATCCAGAGCCCATGCTTGCGGGGAAGGACACCATTGTGTGACATGAAAAGCCAGCAGACCTGGCAGCCAGGGGTTAATTTCAGAGATACTCTGGGGCCGGCTACACGGCCCGGAGGTATTGTTTCAGCAAATCTCCAATGAAGCTCATGAACTTTTTTATTAACCCGAGACATCCTTCCCAGGAACACAGACCACACAAGACCTACACAGGGCTGCTGTCCTCTGCTCTGCATGGGCTCCTTCCGCTTCAACGCTTGGGCTGCCCCATCCATCCCACCGCCTGCTTACATAACAACTTCCTATTTCGCTTCTCTTCCAACAGCACTCGTTTTTCTGCAGCGCTCTTTTGAGCCCTTGCTGGCGGCTCTACTGAGTTATTAGCTGTCTCTCAGGCTGTTCTCTCCAACTAGAGTCAGCTTTGGATGGCAGCTGATTTATTTTCCTCTCACATCCCTCCCGGAACCTAGTAGATTGTAAGAGCTTCAAATTAAAAAAA